GGGGGGGGGGGCAGAGGAGAGGCTTTCTCATCTGCCATTACTACTTCCCTTTGTTCTATTACAGAAGAATGGGAATCCAGGGAAAATAAAGACGGAGATAGCGAAGGGGAATCCTCTCCTGTATCAATAACCAATTCAAGTACAGAAAGACAGAGCAGGAATAAAGAAGGGCTATTTTATTTGTTGGTCGGACTTTTTTCAATTTGAAGTGCACGCTAGGCAGTTGCCAGAAATGAAGCTCAGCCTGAGAGAGTTTCACTTTACTTTTATATGTAGAGTATCAATGGGTAATATCCACCGTGTGTTTCTTCCAGCATATCAGATGCCATTAGGGGATCAAATCCCCATTCCTCAAAACCTGACTTATTTCAGCAGAAGCCAGCTTAATAAAAATGGATTTAATTTATCCTCTGTAGATAAGTTGCATGTGTGTTATTTCAATAAGGAAAATGCCAGGTGGAGTTAATGTTCCAGTCCTGAGTATCCATGATTGCTTTGAAATAAAAATCCCACCATTGTTTTTAAATGCACAAATGTGATATATATCCTGTCCATGCATTTTGCATGTCATGTCAGTGTAATATTTATTTGCCAAAGACTTTGAGCAGAAAAAAATGACATGCTGAAGAATATGTCTGATACCAGAATCAAACATACACATGCAAGAGGATTTATAATGTAGTGATGAATTCCATGGCACTTCTAGTTATTCTAGAAAAAGAAATTGTTCTGAAAGATGAAATCTGAACTAGGATATAGAGACATGGCTCCAGGATAGCTCGCGCCTCCTCCTGTTATGAATCTCTTGAAATTCATGTGAACTATTATTTAGTTTCCAAAGAATTGTGAAACATAGCTAGCCCACCTAACTTGCAATTTCTTTAACCCCCTGAAGTTTTTTTCTTGATACCACCACTAGATGGAGAGAAAAGGTTGAGCGTTATCCAGTTCCAAGCATGCTGATTCTTCTCAGTATAGTTACCTTACCTTGGTTTACTACTTACTGATTAGTTAGTTGTTCTGGCCCAACAAAAAGATTGACCCGAGAAAGGCCTGTCCGAGTTCCAAGGAAGGCAACTTCTACTCCCTTGTCTGAATTTCTGAAAAATAGCAACAGCATGAAAGCACCCTATTTCTACAAAGTAAATAGTTTATGGCTACTTCAAGGTCACAAAACACATGTAGAAACCAGGGCTGCAAATGTAATTGATTTACCGAATTAAACAATCAACTTAAGCTTTTAATGAAAATTAAAACATGCCCTCAATGTCCAAGTGAAGGTGTGGCTGAAAGGATGTTAGATTCTGCAAATGACATGGATGTATCATTTCCTACCTGCCTTGTGGATAGGAGTGAGGTTTCCAATGTTGTGACAGCACAAATACAGGGTGTTTGTAAAGCAGAATGTCAGAGTAGAGGAGGAGGAGGAGGAGGAGGAGGAGGTGGAGGTGGACTTCCATAATTTACATTTATGTATTACAAACCCTCAAGCCTTTATCTGAATAATTAAATGATGGGAAATTGATTTCCCTCTCCAATAAATGGAGCAGCCTTTGAGGGCAGTAGATTTTTTGTGTGCACCAAATTACCAAAAACGAATAACTGTACTGAGATGATGAGCATATATACATACACATACTCATAGAACAGTTGCTGAATAAGCCAAAAGTCCAACCATTTTTGTTTTACACATTTGGTATTTTTGTTTCCTTAGTCACAAAAATATATGGCTTGAATGATTAATGGCATGTTTACAGGATCTTTTATGTGGTATTTTGCATTTATTATGATTGTCTATATCTGTATCTCTGTGGCAACTTTACAACTGTGAGCCACAAATCCTGAATCTATTTTGCTCATAAGTGAAGCATCTTATCAAAGGATTTACACAGTCCTGGGACATGCTCATATCCAAATTAATGCAAGAAGAAGGAAGAAAGTTTTGTTCACTTACTCTGATTTATTTAGTGCAAGGCTGGTCCAATAAGCTTCAATTGGGGCACTCACCACTGCATCAAATAAGACTTCCTGTATCAATTCTTTGTCACCTGTAATATTTTAAAACATTCATGAAAAATATGCATGGAATCTCCTTATGACCCTAAAACTGACTGCACCAGATACTGGTAGGAATTTTACAGGTTTATTGTTTAAAAACCATTTCAGAAGAAGCTGGAAATGATGGACACCTCCCCCATTTGTTTTTGAGATAGGGAAGGGCAACCAAATTTGCATCTCTCTTTTGCATATCAAAACTTAAATTTCCAATATCCCCTGTTTTTAGTCTTGAAACTAGTATCTATTCCATCTGGCAGGTATAATGCTCATTAGTAAGTTCTAGACTACTGCATCCTACCCCATTGCCTGCTATGAAGGTCACTGTTATCATAAGCCAGTGTTGTCCAAACGTGGCCACTTTAAGATGAGTGGACTTCAACTCCCAGAATTCCCCAGCCAGCATGGGGTTAGGGTGGCTGGCTGGGGGATTCTGGGAGTTGAAGTCCACTCATCTTAAAGTGGCCACGTTTGG